TCCTAAGAAACAAAACCAACAAATTTCCCAAGTAAACAAATGTAAAACCCGCATAGTGTGTTTGTATTTGAGAGCTCTGAATGTATATCTTTTGTCTGTATATCATGTAGTTTGGTTAGAAGAATGGGGGCTTTTTCAAACCTGCATTGTGTAAGAACAACCGCTTATGTATATTCAAAAAGTTTTCATTTATGATAGATCCAGATATTTGATTTACCTCTCGACAGAAGTTTTACACAAATCCGCCATCACAGATCATATGTTAGAAAACAACAATGTGCCAAAATATGAAGAAAGAAACACGCCATAAACAGAGATGAAGGAGCACACAAGCTGTCCCATGTGTATGACGACATTCTCAAACCCACCCTGAGGGGGAGGGGGCGAGAAGGACTAACAAGTCATCATCAAAACTGAGGTAATGTCCTTTTCACCTTCACCTGAACAGGAAATTCAGTTGTGACCTAGTCTTTCAGAGTGAACAAACGAAACAGTCAAGAGGTAAATCAAATATCTGGACCCTAAATGACCCCCAAACATACTTCTCTTTAAAAAACGTGTATCATTCCCATCTGACAGTGTTGGCATTCTTAGAGAATACCCATAGCGACAGAAATCTATTAAGACGGTTTGAAACGCACGGGGAGGGTTTAGTAATTGAGATAAAATAATTAGTTTTTATTGCTTTATATCAACAGAACACTCATCTGGTAAACCCGGCCCATCCTTGGATAGTTGAAGAGTTATGTTCATTGTCTGTATGTACGGCATGGTCCTCACAGTTTTATAGAGTAATACCAAAACTGAAGTTCCTACACCAGAGGCCACGCCCAATGTATCGAAATCTTACCACCAGGATACAGGAGTCACTGTCCTTCCGGATATGCTGCTGCAACTAAACAAAATCCACTCAGTCCGTTCAGAATGAGGGGGAAATTGTCACCAAAACGCGTTTTTCAAGGCTCTAAGCGAACACCAAACTGGAGCCGCCCTACCTGTCACCCATTAAAAGTTATTAAAACACGATTTTAGTCCTTATTTTCATTAATCAGTCAGCAAGACAGGAAAAAAACTGATGAATTATGAATTGGAAAAAATATTCCATATTAAATGTTACTATAATTCGTTATTTATAACGTTATCTGGTAACGAAAATGTTACAAATTGTAGCGTTGTTTTTCGTCTGTATATATCTGTATGTATGTATGTAACAATGACATCAAAAATAATATGTGCGAATATGAAAGTGGTGACAACTACTGTACTAGTCCTTCCTCAAAATGAGCTAAGCCACAACATTTACATAACAAAAGACAGGTGAACGAACTGCGCCTGTCTTAACCAATGATCTTCCGGCAGCATTGAGTACATGGACATAATAGTACATACGTACAGGTGTAGGTCTTGGCAAGGACGTATATTGAATCATCAATATATGTCCTTGGTCTTGGGAATTTTAAACCACTTTTGAAAGAATGGCTACTAAACTATCCCAACCAGCAACAAGCTAACAAAATTAATTTCATAAATTTATTTGTAAGATCTAACGGATACAGTTTTCTTTGAGAATGATTTCAACAACATCCGTGTACCTGTTTCAATTTGCATAACAATATTTCGATTGGCTCAGAGCGAACAATCTTCTTGACTAGTCACTTGAGAGCTAGACACTGTGAGTAGAGGACGCAGGAAAGGTGTGGCTAAGTCGAAGAGTCAAACATTTCATTCACCGTTGAAACTCGGACCCAATATGAACCCCAGTATGATGAATTGAGACAGATATCCCGAGATTTCTGGTAAGTAAAATTTCTTGTAAAAGCGAGAAAGATCGCAATGATGAAGGAGGCCTACAGAATGATGTGCACAATTCGATAACGTGGCATGTAGATATATTGTAAGAGGAACTTATAAGCCGTTGTTGCGATTTGAGTTTGATATAGCTTGTGTTCAGTATATAAGTGTATTAGTAACTTGGTGTAATTCGACATGGGTTGAATAGGTTTGTTGCCATTTTTAATAAATGTTTTCAGAGCACCAGGGGTGTTTTTTACAACTTTTTGCGTGTTTTACCAGTTAAAATTGTCAGGTTTGTTTGGGTAGTGTAGTTCACTGGATTTTACAAAAGTTGAACATTGATAATGTCTTAAAGTCTTAAAAAGCATGAAGTCAACAGATGCAAAAATTATATGGAGAAGTGTGCTATAATAGATACTTTAAATACCACCCTCTATACGTAAATGCGGCACCTACCGGTAAACACTGAATTATGCCATTTTGATATAATTATAAAAACGTTATTTTTATATTTCAGAACTGCCAGCTTCTTTGCCGAGATCCAGCAAAATGCAAATGCGTTGCATGGAATCTTCCCTTGTTTTCTGCATGATTTTGGAATCGGGCACACACACACACACATACCATTTTTTTAAAGATCGTTGTGCTTTTCTTTGTTGATATCATGTAAAAGATAAAGAAATGAATGTAATATTTATGTGAGCTATTATTTCAGAAACTATAATAATGCGTTTTCACTTCATTTTTATACAAAAAATGCTTTTACTTTTTCCTTTATTTTTTGGTTGCCAATATTATATTTCTAACAATTTTGTGATAATTGAACTGAAAAATAAATATCACTTAAAGCAAAATTGTTGTTGGAGATATGTCTATTACAGGTGGTAACAGATACGCACTGTTTTTTAGTATAAAGAAAATAATAATAAAAAATGCGTGTTTATATGATTTTTAATTTTTTTTGTCAACATGATCTGTTGTAAATTTTTGTCCTATAATAAAGGATATAATCCAAAATCGTTTTATTGTTTGTAATGAGTGTGGATAGTGATTGTATTGGTGTGGGTGATAGGAATAAACTTGTATTTGACTGGTGATAAATGGGCGAGTGCAATGACGAGAGAGTTCATTCCGTAGATGGGTGAAAAGTGTGGTGAGTTAATTTTTTGAGGGTTAACAGTTTGGACGATTCCAATCCGTTTTGAGGGGTGAAAGGTTGGGCGAGTTCATTCTGTCTTGAGGGGTGAAAGGTTGAACGAGTTCATTCTGTTTTGAGGGGTGAAAGGTTGGGAGAGTTCATTCCATTTTGAGGGGTGATAGGTTGGGCTAGTTCATTCTGTTCCAAGGGGTGAAAGGTTGGGCGATTCCATTATGTTTTTTAGGG